AACACAACTTTTGCGCACACAGAGTATACGACTTCCGCGCACACAGTGTACGCGACTTAAGCGTACACATAGTGTATGACTTCCGAGGCACCACTATGTACAGCATGCGCGCGCTCCGGGATGGTGCCTGCGTATACGCGCATACGCATCTGCCGAAACCAGGCCATGCTACAACTGAACTTGGCTGTCCGTTCCGACTAGGCAAGGCACAAACTCGCCTCACAGTCACATCACACGTGCTGCTGTAACATAAAAGAATACACTAAAGAGATTCAGTCTGAACTTAATTTAAAAAAATGCAGTACAACTCTCGGGACACCATTTGCCTTTCCAGGTCACCATATACTGAGCTGCGGCTACACGACAACCTCTGGTATGGTCCGATCCTCATGTAAATTTAAATACTCTCTTCAATGTCGGAACTAATTTGCTCTACTTCAACTTCGTGAATCATACTTTGGTTTTCCAGCATTTTTCGCAACCAATTAAAAAATTAAACACTCATTCTTACAAAATAGTTTCTAAGACAATGTTTAGGATAAATTTACTTTCCTCATGTATCTCATGGTGATTGGTAGCAGTGGTAATTAATGTGTCCGCAGCATCATATGCCCACAGCATACTTCCACTCAAAAACGAACGCCACAGCACCACACCTTCCACTAAACTCTCAACATCAAATCACAATTTTGTCGACTATGTAATACTCGGAGTAAACTGTAACACTTATCATCACATTAGAACACAAAAATACTACTTAGTGTTTTTAAGTCGTAGCACGGTAAAGTTAAACATTTTTTCGATACATCGTTTAAACATTTTTAACTTTAAAATTTGCCCATGTAAATCACATCTCGTGTCTCAAATTATAACATAACTTGAGCAAGTTAAACTTCCACTGAATGCAAACTATAACTCATTTAGAATGCCTCCAACATTTCTTTCGACATTTGTCATCATTGTTGAGTACGTTAAGAAATAATGAAAGTACTTGCGGGTACTTTTTATTATAAATCGAACAAAAAGATTTAACTTTTGGTTTAAAACATTTCACTTTAAACTTTTACTCTACACTATAATGATTCATCAGTGTCGTATACGACAGCAAACTTGATTTAAGAAATTGAACACTAAACAAAATGCGAGGAGCATCATAGTATTTCACCAACTTTATAAGCCTCACACTATTCAAAGGTGGACAGTAACAGGGACTTTATCCCACTTCTGATATCAGAAATGACTACAAGAAATCCCACTTCTGGTGTCGGAGATTACAACAGAGTATTCCACTTGTGATCTTGGAAATACATCAGGATAGCGTTAACTGTTAAAAATAATAAAAGTGTGAGAGCAGTTGTTCAACTTGCTCTCTTGCTTACGCAGTTTAATCATTATCAGTAATAAGACAACGTAACGCACTATACATTCAGCATAGTGAAATTACAGTTCGACCACACCGTAACACGTCTCCGCCACAATCACACACCAGTGTAACGTGAGGTACGTAATTACATGATAACACCAAAATATGTACAGCAACAGCAACACTACTTATCTCAATGTAACACAGGGCAGCCTCTTAGCAACACCAATCCTCCTTGTCTTAACTAGAGGAATTACAACAACGAACAGAACCACAACACTATCTTAGCACTAGTAGAATGACCACACTCGTTGAATGACTGAAGCGGACTCTCCCGCGCACGGCACCGTGATACAGTGAACTTTATACTGCACAAACAAGCGGGGGTTTCTCGATATACCCTACAATGCACCTCGATCCAACCGGGTATTTTATAGACGCTCCGACATAAGTAAATCGGCCCGGCTGGGGAAGTAACATGCTCTCACAGAAGAGCAGTGTAAAATAGCAGCTTATGACTGCTGTGTTTCGTATGGTGACTGTAGAGAACCGGAGACCCTTTTTACTGGAGTAGATGACTATCGGCTACAGCATCCACTTACCGTGAGGTGGACTGTGTGCTCGTTGGTCACCATTATTTTATAAAAAATCATAAGAGTTGACCAAGGATAATGCGATTTCCTTCTTTAACTTGAAAACTTTGTCTTATATTGTATTTTTATCTATGGTATCTATATACGGTACTGATGGGGCAGAAATATACAAGAACAGACTTCTGAAAACATTTCCGAATACTATTTCAAGACTCTATTATGTCTTATGCATTGGAAAATTAACATTTTGTTCCCAACATATTTCCAAATACAAATTTGCAGATCTGCAAGCTACGCCAGGAAGTAACGATTTGACGTCATGTTTGTGCAACTAGCATGCAATTGTGCTGCAATGCAGAACTCAATTCTGGGGGGATTTTGAGTTTTGATGATAAAACAAATTATAAATTGAAATCAAACGAAGATAAAAAAAAATTAGTTTTGTCTGTTATGGAATTTAATAATTTGGATAATAATTTATTCATAATTTTTTCATATTCCACTGGTGAAGATAGGCATCCCTATAGACTGCCTCATAAAGTGGGTTCGTCATAGTTGTAGTGCTTGGAACGCGGGTTGGCAACCGCATTTTATTTTTTTGTCTAGAAAGACGTTGCTGTTGTCATCTCCTGGTTTGTTTCCTTCTGTTGCCTGCTACGATACCCAAGCGACGATTCAGGAGGTAGAGATGGTATAGGATACATTCTTACACCGCCACTGCACGACCAAATATTTTATACATTACAATAATTTATTTTAAATTAAATATTGAATGTTAACTTTATCAAAAATACGTACGCTTAGACCCACGTTGTCTTTGAAATTGTGAATTTGACAGCCATAATCGTCACTAAGAGGAAACACATTTATAATATTATACGTCGCATAATTTCATTTACAATCATTACGTTGTAGATATATGTTAATGTTTTCTAGTAATATAAGTACGAGCGGATTTTAATCACTAACGTTTATTGTACGTTATTGTTTTAAATATGCGTATCAAATTAATGGCTTTTTCTAATTTTTTCTTTCATTGTTTCTTTCATTTATTTGTCGAATAGAATAATTTAACGAAAATAAATTACGGTAATAAAATTTTGCAATTAAATATTCGATGTTCAGACTTTCCTGCTTTGCTCTTTATTATATTTTCATTAATAATAAAAATATTTTTTATTATTTATTTATGTTAGTATATTAAACTAACTTTTGGTAAATCCTATTCTGCATGCCTTAAGCGCATTCAAAAATTACATATAACATGTTTATACGTAAATTTTTAAAGTTGTTTAATTACACACAAGTTTTCTCAAAAACCTTATAATTATTACTATACTTCAAATTTTTAGATAATTTTATGTCAAATTTCAACTTAAGAAAAAGGTTGGAAAATCCAAAAGTGCACAACTCATTATGCTCATATGATCTTGAAAAAATTAAAAAAAATGGAAGGACTTCCAGTAGCATTCACCGAAGTCCACTTTCAGGTCATTCTATCAAGTCCGGAGATAAGGTCTCATCATAACTAACAAAACTGGACAAAACTCGGCACATCTAGTTCCACTCTTCGAGGTGTTTCAGTACCATTCATCGAAGTACACTGTCAGGTTACTTTATCAAGTTCGAAGGTAAGTTATCATCATTACTAACAAAACGAGGCCAAACTCGTTACATCTAGTTCTAATCTTCAACGAGCTCCAGCAGCATTCACTGAAGTACAATTATTCTTATCCATCCATTCCATTACAGCCTATTAACGTTCACTATTTAACAGCCTCATCAAACACAACGCTGAACATAGGCCTCCTCTTTTATGGCAAATATTCCCATCAGGGGATATTTGTGGGGACATTTGCCATAGTTGCTAGTCAAAGTTCTATTCTATTATATTCTGTTCTTTGCTCCCAAATTATTTCGTAAAAATAAATATTGTAATTGATAATTTCCACCTCAAATTTAAATATAGTTGTTAATTACTAACAAATTATATTGTGTAATAAATGAAAGTGGTAAATATCTAAATAAATAAATTTTTAGTGTATCTCAAATTAAAGTGACAGCAGGTAACGAACATCGTTTAAAAGTTACTTTAATTCTTGTTATCCCTTTTAATATTTACGATATATCTCTTAAGTTTTGTTCTTTTCGGATTTCATTTTGAATTGTTTCCTTGATAATTTAATTTGAGATCTTTTAATTACAGTCCTACAATTAGATATTTGCTTACGCTGTTCCCTTGATTTTCCATCTTTGTTTTCTTTTACTATTTTAAATACATAGTAAAATAAATACTCCCAACGGCAAAACGCGCAATTGTAGAACCAACTTCATCTTGCGCTCCAAGAATTGAGGGCGTCCAGGGAGCAGTGTGAGCTGTTACTTAAAGAAAGGGATGAAAATTTCGAAAAATACTCAACTGAAAAGTGATATGGTTAAGATACATAGAGACTTTACAGATATTTCAAAGGAAAGGGATCAGCTCCAGGGGACAGTCGATGAGTTTGACCGATGCAGCAAAGAATATGAGGAAGCACTCAGATTAATTGCTGCATTGAAATTACAATTAACTGAAGCTAATGAGGAGATTTCACAACTTAAACAATACATTGATAACTTGAAAGCATTTCAAACTTAGAGTCTGTTCGACGAGCTTGTTGAACGTAAATCTCATAAAACGTTGCATCCTTCCACAACAATAGATTTGACTGATTATTCTACCACATCAAGAACAACAGAAAAGATTACAAGCAGCAGAAGGAAATTAAGAAAGTATATAAAAATCAATAAATATATTAGGAAAGTGAAAAAATTAGTTAAAACTAAAATGAATATTAAAATTTATACAAATGTATGTAAGGAAAAGCAAGAGTTAATTAGTAAAATTAAATGATATTCAATTGAGGTTAGAAAACATGAAAAATTGTTATGAGACTGAAATAGAGTGTCTTAATTCAGACATTTTATGATTTCTAACGTCATTAAAAATTATGTCAAATAAATATAAATCAGCAGGGAATGAGATAAAAGAACACATACTGGCCATGGATAATCTGGTAAAGTCATGTAAATATAACGAGGAACGTTGTGACGCCTTATTAAAATATAAAAATGAATATCAGCGCTCAATTTCTTTAGGGACAGTGTGTGTTAATAATATGACAAGCAGTAATACTTCATTTTCTTTACCTAAACTCTATGATAGTACCATAACAAAGAAGATAAATTTAAAAAGTAATTCATACAATGAACAAAATAATGTAATTGTGTATAGTGATGACATAGGCAAAAACTTGGGTATATCATTGAATAACTGTTTAACTGGCAACAGATAAATAATCACTGCTTGCCTTGAGCATAATATCACTGAATGATAGTGATAATAGGAATAAAATTTTAACTAGTAAATTTAACCCTAATAGTATATTAATAATTTTTGTTGGGAGAAGAGGCAATATGAACAAGAATCAATTATTAAAATATATTGAATATCTCAATAACATAAATGTGGTTAAAGTTATCTTGTTTACATTACCCTACATAGAGGGTTGGCCACAAGAAAATAAACTAAGATATAATTTAAATTTAATGAAGCATAATTTGACATGTAACAACAACTTTAACTTGGCATTTAATTGTTAGAATAAAAATGATAAATTTCATTTGATTGATATTAATAATTTAACTAAGAAGTTTTTGACAAGAGATAGGTATTACCTATCAAAGTTTAGTTTGAGACTGGTAGCAAATACGCTATCTTATTATATATATTTTAACCCAGCCAAATTATTGGCTACCTTGACACCTGCTTTTATTGAGCAGAAAAATAATTTTACGAATGACTTGACATTAGTTTCAAATAATTTAAATTAGATAATAAGACAATAGATGTAATCTCTAGCAAAGATAATTTAAATACTTAAGGTGAAAGCTCCAGATTAGCCCGCGAAATTCAATTAATAATCATTATAATCATCAACACAACGTCTATGTTCGTATAATTCCAATGTATGGCTATTTCCAGAAAAACTCATTCAAAGGAATTATACGAACTTAGGGGGTTGTATTGATGATTATAATGATTATAATTCTGTAAATACATAGTCATTACGCTCGCGAATCGCGCTTCTACCTTAGGAATACAATGTAACAATACTTAACTGTGTAATTTCACAAAATAGCAATAATAAAACTGTATTAACCTGGTGCATCAAAATATACAAGGTATGTTCGGTTAATTGCAGCGGCTCAAAAAGATCGCTGTACAAATACACAATATTCGAATAACCAAATTTCTTAAATACTTTTTATTACAATATTTTGAAAGCACAGAATAAACAATAGTAGTACGTACTAAAAGTAAGTAATATCAATTTTTTCGTAATGGGTGTCATTTTCATAGTTTTCGAGGGTGTTGAAGACGATAGGGTTGTCGAAATGTAAATCCAAGATTGCAGCTGCAATAGGTATCAATTTTTTCGTCATGGATGTCATATTCATGGTTTTCGAGGGTGCTGAAGCCGAAAGTGCTGTCGAAATGTTAATCCAAGGTGGCAGCTGCAACAGGTAATCAATTTTTTCATCATGGGTGTCATTTTTAATGATTTTCGAGGGTGTTGAAGCCGATAGTGGTGTCGAAATGTAAATCCAAGATGGCGGCTGCAATAGGTATCAATTTTTTCTTAATGGGGGTAATTTTCATAGTTTTCGCGGGTGTTGAAGCCGATAGAATATAAATCCAAGATGGCGGCTAAAATAGGTATCAATTTTTTCATCATGGGTGTAATTTTCATGGTTTTCGCGGGTGTTGAAGCTGATAGTGCTGTCGAAATGTAAATCCAAGGTGGCGGCTGCAATAGGTATCAATTTTTTTGATCTTGGGTGTCATTTTCATGTTTTTCGAGAGATTTGAAGCCGATAGGGTTGTCGAAATGTAAATCTAAGATGGCGGCTGAATTAGGTATCAATTTCTTCATAATGGGTGCCATTTTCACGGTTTTCGAGGGTGTTGAAGCCGACAGTGCTGTCGAAATGTAAATCCAAGATGGCGGCTGCAACATGTATCAATTTTTACATCTTAAGTGTCATTTTTATGTGTTTCGAGGGTGTTGAAGCCAATAGAGCTGTCGGAATGTAAATCCAACATGGCGGCTGCAATAGGTATCAAGTTTTTCGTCATATTTAAATTGTATTTGTAAGCTACTTATTTAAATTCGATTGATTGATCATTACAGAACCAAAATGTAAAAATTAAAGTAAAATTTAAAGTTCACTACCCTATTGATTCAATGGAGCGTAGTTAATTATGTCTTCAACTCGGCTTAGTTTCTGTACTGTCCATATTTATACTGTGGTAAAGTATTCCGGCTACCGCACGCATGTTAATTTCACGGACTCTAGATAAACCTACTTCAACGTTAAGTATAACTTATTACTCACATAAACCGCCACATGGCAATCACGCATAGTTAAACATTAAATTTCAAAACATTTTTGACGTTAAACACGACTCGACACGATGATGAATCCGGTAACTGTGGAAAAACATTCTTTAGTAGGAGGAAATGCGGGCCGAGCGACTTGAAAATTAGGTATTGCATACCGTAAGCGCTAGGCGAGCCGGTATGTTCTACTAGGGCCTAAAAATTAAGATTCCAACGTTTTGTCGCATGAAATCGTATCAAGCAAGTGATATAAAAAGCACATTTTCAGAAAGATAAATGATTGTTGAACTTATTAATATATTTTTTAAATCGATTGATTGCTATTTTTACACAAAAAGAAGGGTTTGAGTGGCCTACCCTATGGTGTGGATTTATTTTTTAAACTTTATCATGTGGGAAGCCATGGAATGTAAATGGCAGTTTAATTTTGTTTTATTTAGTTATAATTAATTTTTTTCGGCAAAGAAATGGCGAAATTTTTGGTGTGTTACTTTACTATTGTTGTACTAATATATTTTACTAAATAGACAGTGTCTCACTCCGTCATTCCCACAAACCATGCATATTATATAACTGGTCATTCTGGCCTTGGCCGCCGTCGTAAGTGGTCGTATCGCTTGTTTGCAGCGAAAATGTTCGCCGTAGAAATACGAAATATTCCAAAAACAAAATTTTATTCGTACTTGACCAAGGTAAGATATTATAATTATCTTTATAATCACAGATCTTTATTACAATATTTTGTTTCGCTAAAAGCACGCAGGATTTATATACAAATATATGTACTTATACGTCTTGGCCTTTATAGACCTGGAAGTGTACTTCGTTATCTGCTAATGGAACTCCTCGACGAGGAGAACTAGATGTGCCGAGTTCGGGCTCGTTTTGTTAGTTATGATGAGACTTTACCATCGGACTTGATAGATGGACATGAAAGTGTACTTAGATGACTGCTACTGGAACTCCTCGACGAGGTGAAATAGATGTGCCGAGTTTGGGCTTGTTTTGTTAGTTATGATCAGACTTTACCTCCGGACTAGATAGAGCGACTCAAAAGTATACTATGATCACTGGTACTGGAAATCTTTGACGAATAAAACTACAAATTACAATTTTTTTTTTAATTTTTTCACTCTTATATAAGCATTATTTGTCATGCACTTTTGGATTTTCCAAACTTTTTTAAATTGAAGTTTAACATAAAATATCAGAAAATTTGAAGTATAATAAGGTTATTAGTGTAAAACGTGTATTTAAACTACTTTAAAAAATTCCGTATAATCATGTTATACGTATTTTTAATGCGCTTAGGGCATGCCCAATTAGATTTAGCAATTTTTTTTAAATACTAACCTTATTCATATTTTACGTATTACTTAACATTGGTTGAAAGATTACAACGCCATATTTAATTTCATTAATCACCAGGTGGTCAGTTGGTTCAATAGAGTTACTAAATTACGTGGTGCCTCCTTAATACTAGCTAATAAATCCTTATCGTGTAAAGAACGTAAAGACATTGTGAGACTCTCTGTTAAGTGTACTGTAGAAATAGCATGTGTTGAGCTTGAGCTTACATGTTCCCCTATGTTCAAGTTATGATACCTTTGAAAAAATTATGGAAGAAGTTTTAGTTAAGCTTAAATAAACAGAATAAATCTCTTGTAGTGTGTGGAGACATTAATATCAATCTCCTGGAAACTTCTTCCATTAGTATTAAATTTTGCTCTTTGTACAAATCCTATAATCTTGATAATTTATTCTTTGAAGCTACACGTATAGGGTGTAGTGCTACTTGTATTAATAATGTTTTTACAGGTGTTGTAACAATCAACAAATCAATAATTCAAAAATTTAGTTCAGATCACTGTGGACAACTGGTTTCGTTACCTTATATGCACAAAAAACAGGTAATTGAGAAAATTGTGTTTGTTCCTTTTAATGCAAAACGTCTGGAGAGATTTAGAAGTAATATGGTAAAAAACCTTCCATCGCTTTCTTATAAGAACAATGCATTCTATTTATATGGAGAATTATTTACCCTTATAAGCAATGATTTAAATAAAACATTTACTTCTAAAACACTCTCCAGAAATAGTCGCAAGTCATTTAATGAGTGGGCGACAGCAGGAATTCCTAAAACCAGACAAAGGTTATATGACCTTTACCATGAAAGATCATATAATTTTTCCGATGCTTTTAAAGAATACGTAAAAAAATATTCTAAAATATTTCAAAAAGTTTGCTTTACAGCCAAATCATTACATATTAGTAACAAAATTAAGGCGGATAAGATTTAATTTAATTTAAAGATTTAATTGCATCTCATCTTGCTAATAATTTTAATACTTGTTTCGATTCTGGTGTGTTTCCTGATTTAATGAAGTATAGTAAAGTAATACCTTTATTTAAATCTGGTAGTACATGGGACCCCGCTAATAATAGACCTATTTTGTACTACCAACTCTCAGTAAAATTATTGAAAAAATAATTTTGGATCAATTTTTAATTTTTTTATACAAATAAATTACTTCATAAAAACCAATTTAGTTTAACAAGGGGTCGCTCGACGTCTGGCGCCAGTGTTGAGCTTATGAAATATACTTTTATTGCCTGGAAGAATTCACAAGTTGGCTTGGGTATTCTGTGACCTTTCCAAGGCTTTCGATTGTGTTAAACATGAGACGTTAATCAGGATACTACAACATTACGGTGTGAAAAATTTCGCGCTTAGACTTATTATTTCACATTTAAGTAACAGAACTCAAAAAGTCGTGATCAATGGTAAAGGTTTCTCCGGATCGGTAGTATCAATGGGCGTTCCTCAAGGCTCGATTCTTGGTCTGTTCCTGTTCTTAATCTATATTAATGACTTACTGTATCTTGTAGGTGACAATCACGATATAGTATTATTTGCTGACGATAACTCATTAATTTTCAAACTCAAACGGTAGTCAAATAATTATGACGATGTAAATAATGCTTTATCGAAATAAGTACATTGGTTTAACGCCAACAATTTGCTCTTAAACAGAAATAAGACAAAATGTAATAAATTATGATTTTTTATCTTTACACGAACACAACACAATAAATAAAACTACTTTTACGGAATTTTTCGCGTTTAATAAACTTATTTATCATATTTTTATTTATTCCCGACGTTTCAAGTGCTTTCCAGCACCCGTGGTCACGGGGAACTAAGGTGATTGACGTCCCGATGTCAGAGTTAACCCGGAGTACCTTCAGCTTTTTCAATTATTAATTTTGGCCAGATCTACGCAGAATGAACTTACTGTGTCTTAAAGTCTTGCAGTGGTATGCTTGGGTTTAGTCTTAATTTTATTAATTACAGGATCCCAAGCAGGTAGTACCCAGCCTCCCTCTCTATTGAAATTAGAATGTCTTTTTAATTTCAATAGCCTCGCGTATCATCCTTGACAGGAATCGATGTTCTTTCGCGAGAATTTGTGGTTTATCGAATCTAATGTGGGCCGTCTAGGATATGGTCACAAACTGCAGACATCCCGGAACGTTTATGCTTCACGTCAGCTCTGTGTTCGTATACGCGGGTTTTTATTGATCGTTTTGTTTGCCCTATATGTGAGAGACCACATTCACAATCAAGCTTGTATACTCCTGCATCTTGTAGAGGAATATTGCACTTGACGGATGTTAAGAACTGACTAATCTTCTTCAGTGGCTTAAAGAATGTTCTAATAGAAGCTCGCTTCAAGATGTAGCCAATCTAGTTTGTGACGCCTCTGACATATGTTAGTACAGCAGGCACACGCTCGACTGTGGCCGGCTTCACTCGGTCACTGTGACGAAGTCGCGGGACCCGAAGCTTGTTGTCGTGCAGAACCTGCTTGACATGCTGAAGCTCGGCGACCAGGTGTTTACTGTCACAGATCCGTCGTGCTCTTTGTAACAAAGATTTGCCCACGGTAGCTAACTGTGAAGGATGATGGTGAGATTCACCATTTAAATATCGGTGTGTATGAGTCTTTTTTCTATACACAGTGTGACCTATGGTATTATTAGGATTTCGAATGACTAACACGTCTAAGAAAGCTAACGAATTATTTGCCTCTAACTCCATAGTAAATTGAATTTTAGAGTTTATGAAATAAAGATGTTCTAAAAATGCACCTGCTTGGGATACTGTAATTAATAAAATTAAAACTAAACCCAAGCATACCACTGTAAGACTTCAAGACACAGTAAGCTCATTCTGCGTAGATCGGACCAAAATTAATAATTTAAAAAGCTGAAGGTACTCCGGGTTAACTCTGACATCGTGACGTCAATCACCTCAGTCCCTCGTGACCACGGGTGCTGGAAAGCACCCAAAACGTCGGGAATAAATAAAAATAAGATAAATAAGTTTATTAAACGCGAAAAAATCCGTAAAAGTAGTTTTATTCAATGTGTAGTGTTCGCGTAAATATAAAAAATTATTATGTAAACCAGTACGGACTGGAAATAGCAAATAAAATACGCCAACTAGAAGATTTCAAAACCAAGCGCGCAAGATACGAAACATCTTTAAATTTCTTTAAGAGATGCAGAGACCATAATCTCATTCCTACGTGTGTCATGATATCTACTAAAAAAACCATTCGAGGAAGTGCTAAGATCTTTAATCAGCAATGTATACGCATTTACAACAAAATCCCAGAACATGTTCAAAGTTTGTCAATAAACAAGTTTAAAAGTCTTAGTAAAGAAAAACTGTATAAAAAGGGTTATTATAATATCAAGGAATACATAGAATATAGAGGTATGTAAGGATCATGACACTTGGCGATCTGTTCTCTCTGGCTACCACCCCGTCAGGGATTGTGCGTGAAGATAAGTAAGTAAGTAAGGAATACATGAATAAAAATAACCCCTGGGAATAAGTTGATCGCCACCATGCTGGTTCTATGAAAATTCATTTAATATTGTATAAACAAAATTATTTTTCAGTGAAATTATGTTTAAAAAAAGTCCCGCTGGGTTTCTTGCTGGTTCATCCCAGGACAGAGATATTTTCCGAACCAGTGCTAAATAAAAAGTGACTTTCAATAAGTATTATTATAATAATCAATATTGAATAAAAATCATTCTATTCTATTCTATCCTATTCTATTCATAAATGTTACGGCTTACTTGAACTGTGTATCGCATTTATTTAGACGCGTCTAAAAATAAGAATCTGCACGAATGTAAAAATTTGCTACAAAGCCTGACTACTGAATATATTCCTAGTCGGGCAACTAAATAAGCCCTCCCTCAATCTACAAGCGTTACACTGCAATTCGAGGTAGATACATAAATCACAAGACCGTATTCAACTTCAGGTCTATGTATTCAAGTTGAAGATTAGTAATATATTTCACAAAATCAACTAATCACGACGGCATCCATACGAATTATTTGTGCGAAAACAAAAGTAATTAAAAGGAAATTGTAACTGAAATTTCTGGTTTCGGGGAGGTTATAAGTAAATTATAGGATAAATTCGAGTAGCAAAGGTAGTATTTCTAATTAATTCCCAGCAGTAATATAATTACTTTACCATGGTTATTTTACGTTTGTTTTAAATAAAAGGAGCTACGCCTTTTCTTCATTTCTTAAAAAATACGTGTACACTAGAATTATCTCCTGTATTGTATAAGCGTTTGTGGCGGCGCTGTTGACGCGCCACAAGCGAAAAACATCGAAGCCTAAATCGCACTAACAAAGTTCCGAAGTTAAAGCAGTATATATAGAATAGTTCCAAACTACCACTCGGAGCATTGGTCGCTCCCCGGATACACCTTGCCCGGCGGGAGATCTCCTCTTTTCCTTCCAGCGGCCACAGTGGTGTCCAACCGACGTGATATGAACACGCAACCTTCGGAAACTACAACTTAAAATCTTCGTCATCATCCTCAAGTACCTCATTCATTCGCTCCCGAGCAGATAATATTGTCTACAGTCTTCACATTCTGCGAGCTATCTAATTTTACAATGGTTCATCGCAGCACTGGAATAATAATGCTTCCTGTTCCTTCAAGCTACTCTCTGCGCTACAGTGTTCGGCACGGCTCTGAGCCTAACTGCTCGCCTCTGCTTCACGGCACTCTCGCAGATTACTTGCCTTCTTCTCAATTCAT